ATTTAGTCCATCTGGGTTGGTTGAAGGTGTTGTGTACATAGTGAAAAATTTATTCAGAAGAAGCAGTGTGGTATGAGAGCTATAAATAGCCAAAATAGCACTGCTGACTCTTGTCGCGAGATCATTTGGTGAATTCTTCCATAACAAATACACGATTGCTTGACTATGTGAAACAGGACACACAATAAAAGATGTCTTTAAAAGGTGGTATTGGAAGAAAAAGACTAGAAGGTTAAACTTTAGCAGGAAAGAAATAAGATGACTTCCATCAGCACACCACAAGAACTTACTGAGAATTTGGGAGATTGGCACTCATCTGTCAAAACTTCCTTGAGTTAAGAATAATACAGTTGTTGATGCTTGGGGACCCCAGAAGAAAGTGAAATGCTAGAGAGAAGCTTTGAACATCAGTTCAGAACACCTGGGAATTTGGCAGGCAGGAGCTGAGAATGATTCACAAGCTGCTCCTGCTCCTGTGAGTAAGACTGAACTGTGTGACCAGTAACAATTCCCCTAATCATGTTTCTCACTACAGGAGAATTGCTGAAGCAGCAAAGATGTAGATGAAGACAGAGGCAGGCACAGGCTGTGTTTGAACAGCTTCAAGGGTTGCTCTATTTTATTTGTTACAATTTCTGAGTTTAATCCTGTGCCAGTTCTTTCCAAAACAAGGTCATATTTCTCTGCATGTAGCTTTCTCCATGTTTCCAGTGACACACTGGTGCTAAACAAAAACATGTGGAGCGTAACTAGGTGCAGGCTACAGTCAATTAGCAGTAAGAAGTTCTTGTTACCTTATTTTAATATGTGACTTCCTCTCTTCTGGATTGGGATAAGTGTTAACCAGCAGGATTATTTGCCTCAGTTTCCTAAGAACATTTGAAAAACTGGGCTGCCCCACCACTTGTCCTCAAGTTGTGGGATCCCACCTCCACCACCGCATCCAGAGATGGAAAATGTACCTCTATCACAGAGACCATGTGTGTGTGCAAGCATGCCGGGGTGAAGCATCCCCTAGTAATATTAGAATTCAAGTTTGGCACTAATAAGCTTTTCTGGTGATGCTGCATAAAGCAATGGTATAAAGAAGCAATGGAAATAATGGTCAAATTCTGGTAGGAGCTGAAGGAGGGACAGTCATGGAAAAAGAAGAGGGAAAACCCCCAAGACAGCATGGATGAGCAGGATGCAGCTGTGCTTGGGATGGGGTGAAGATGAAGAAGGAAAGCAGAGAGACAATGCAGGGTTGCTCATTAAGTGCTAAGGCATACACTGAACTGAAGGGAAACACTAATGTAGCTCTCTTGTAACACATCACTAGGAGAGATATTCATAAATATCTAGCAAGGGAGTTAAAATATACAGCTACCTTCATAACATGTATGAAGCCAAATGACCTCACACTTAGTGATTTTACTATGGCTATTTTTTTTTTTAAACCATGAAGAAAATGAGCTCAGGCCACTCCCAGAACAAAAAAAAAAAAAGTAGGGTATCACACAGAAAACTGGAAAATGTCATAGTAATACATACCACAGCACCCCATAACCTTTGCATGATATCTTGTTTGATAGGCAAGTCACATCTTCTGGGAAAAAATGCAGAATTAGATAAATACTTCTTCCATTATAACAATCAAATCAATATGACCATGCAAACTTTAGCCAGCAGAATTCTTAAGGATCTGAAGTTTGCACATGTGAAGTTCACTAGGGTATGATGAAAAGAAAAATGCAAGAACTTGAAGAGACAGATCCGGATCCAGGCACACACTATCAGTGCTTTGGGGTAACAGCTGTCTTTCAGTAATACCAGTGAGGGCTCATACCAGGCAAGATTAAAGCTGTTCCTCCTGCCTCAGCACCACCACCTGTGCTGCCTGCTCACATGCAGGACTGAATGCTCGGCTGCCTCCCTCCCTCCAGGACCCACTCACCCACCGCATGCCGGGTCAGCCCTGTTTGTACAGTTCCTAGCACAATGACTCATGGCTGTGAGAGGGCTCCAAATCATTCATCACAGAGGAATCAGGACTTGTACTGGCACCCTCTTACAACATAACTGCCAGCAGTGGTTGTGTTCTCATATTATAATACTATGACCTTAACTGTTCATGGCGTTATATATTTCCCCTGTGCTTTGCAAGAGTCAGCATAAGCTTCTAAATCTTTCCTTTCCCGTTCCAGGAAGGACTGTGATTATTAGAAAATTCTGCAGTACCCCTGTTTAACCTCCATTCTTGCAATGCTTTTGCAATAGAGTAGCTGCTACAAGCTTTGAGAGTTTTGAATTTATTTACTAGAAGGCTCTGATTACATGAACCTCCTCTGTCTTTACATGGAAGATTTACAAATTTCTGCTTGAAAGTGTTTCTTTCAAGAGCTAACTCTCCATAACCCCTGGATTATTCAAAAGTAAAGACAGCATGGAGGCTCTGGGAGCAGTGTTATTTGACTACTTTAGGTGACTATAAATACTTAATTCAAGCACAAGCCAGAGGACCAAAGTTAGGACTTTATTGTCCTCAGGAATATCCAGAACAGAGGGAAGTCATCCTGGCAGAGACCAGGGACTAAGAAGCTCGTTGAAAGAACTTTAAGCAAGATTTTAGGTGGGGAAAGGGATAAAACCAGGCTTACTAGAGATAAGCCTGAAGGCAACATGCCAATGTTTAAGAGATGGTGTTCTAGCAAGGTCCTTCGGTCTGCCATCTCAGTGGAGGTAGGGGATAGAGCCATGCAACAGCAAAAACACAAGGGTTATTGATATGTCAGAAACCACAGAAGCACCTGAGAATAGTCACATAGGAATTAGGGGTTCTGTCCCCAAAAATACGATGGGATCAATAGCCCAGCTGAAGTGCATCTACACCAATGCATGCAGCACAGACAGCAAACAAGAGGAGCTGGAAGCCATCGCGCGGCAGGAAAACTATGATATAGTTGCAATCACAGAAACATGGTGGGATGCCTCACACAATGGAGTGCTACAATGGATGGCTATAAACTCTTCAGAAGGGATGGGCATGGAAGAGGCAGTGGAGTAGCCCTGTATGTTAGGAAGTGTTTGGACTGTGTAGAGTTTGATGATGGTGATGATGAGGTTGAGTGTTTCTGCATAAAAATCAGGGGGAAGGCCAACAAGGCAGATATCATGGTGGGAGTCTGTTATAGCCCACCCAACCAGGATGAAGAGGCAGATGAAATATTCTATAAGTGGTGGGAGAAGCCTCACAATCGCTAGCCCTTGTTCTTGTGGGGCTAGAAATACAATACAGCAGAGAGGAAACAGTCTAGAAGGTTCCTGGACTGTGTGGAAGACAATTTCCTGACACAGCTGGTGAGTGAGCCCACCACCGGTGTGGTGGTGCCACAGCAGGGAAGGTGCCCTGCTGGACCTGTTGATTGTGAACAAAGAAGGATTCGTGGGTGATGGGATGTTTGGTAGCCATCTCAGGCATAATAATCATGAAATGGTAGAGTTTTCAATTATCATAGAAGTAAGGAGGGGAGTTAGCAGAACTCCTACCTCTAATTTCAGGAGGGAGACTTCAGCCTATTTAGGAGCCTGGTTGACGAGTCCCATGGGAGGCAGTCCTGGAGGGCAAAGGAGTCTGGGAAGACTAAACATTCTGCAAGAAGGAGATCCTAAAGATGCGGGAGCAGGCTGTCCACAAGTACTGAAAGATGAAGAGGCAGGGAGGAAGACCAACCTGGATGAACAGAGAGCTTTGTCTGGAACTCAGGAAAAAAAGGAGAGTTTCTGACTTCCAGAAGAAAGGGCAGGCAACTCAGGAGGATTACAAGGATGTCATGAGGTTATACAGGGAGAAAATTAGAAGGGCCAAATCCCAGCTAGAACCTAATCTGGCTGCTGCCATAAAAGACGATTTTTAAAGTTTCTATAAATAGAGGGATAAAGACAATCTCCATCCTTTATTGGATGCAGGGAGAAACATAGTGACAAAGGATGAGGAAAAGGCTGAGCTATTTAATACTTTCTTTGCCTCAGTCTTTCACAGTAAGAGCAGTTGTTTTGTCGGTACCCAGCCCTCTGAGCTGAAAGACAAGGAGAAGAGCAGACTGGGGGAAATTTCCAAGGGGAAATTGTTATCCCCCTGCTACACCACTTAGACACACACAAGTCTATGGGGCCAGATGGGATTCACCCAAAGATACTGAGGGAGCTGGTGGAAGTGCTCACCAAGGCACTTTCCATGATTTGTCAGCAGTCCCGGATAACTAGGGAGATCCCAGTTGACTGGAACTTAACAAATGTGACACCCATCTACAAGAAGGGTCGGAAGGAGGATCCAGGAACTACAGGCTTGTAAGTCTGACCTTGATGCTGGGGAAGGTTATGGATCAGATCATCTTGAGCGCCATCACATAGTACATACAGGACAACCAGGTGATCAGGCCCAGTCAGCATGGGCTTATAAAAGTCAGGTCCTGTTTAACTAACCTGATCACCTTCTATGATAAGGTGACCCACTTAGTGGATGAGGGAAAAGCTGTGGATGTTGTCTACCTAGAATTTGGTAAAGCATTTGACACTGTTTCCCACAGTATTCTCCTGGCAAAACTGGCTGGCCCTTAGCTTGGATGAGCATATGCTTTCCTGGGTAAAAAACTGGCTAGATGGCCAAGCCCAAAGAGTTGTGCTAAATGGAGTTAAATCCAATTGGTGGCCGGTCACAAGTGGTGTTCCTCAGGGCTCAGTACTGGGGCCAGTTCTGTTTAATATCTTTATCAATGATCTGGACAAGGGGGTCAAGTGCACCCTCATCAAGTTTGCAGATGACACCAAGTTGGGAGGGAGCATTGATCTGCTTGAGAGTTGGAAGGCTCTACAGAGGGATCTGGACAGGCTGGATTGATGGGCAGAGGCCAGCAGACCGCTGGGCCCTGCCCTTGAGTCACAACAGCCCCATGCTGTGCTTGGGGAAGAGTGGCTGGAAACCTGTCCAATGGAAAAGGACCTGGGGGTGTTGGTCAACAGAATATGAGCCAGTAGTGTGCCTAGGTGGCCAAGGTGGCCAATAACATCCTAGTTTGTATCAGAAATAGTGTGGCCAGCAGGACAATGGAAGTGATTGTTCCCCCATACTTGGCATTGGTGAGGCCACACCTTGAATACTGTGTTGAGTTTTGGGCCCCTCACTACAAGAAGGACATTGAGGTGCTGGAGCATGTCCAAGGAAGGGCAACAAAGCTGGTGAAGGGTCTGGAGCACAAGATATGAGGAATGGCTGGGGGAACTGGAGTTGTTTAGCCTGGAGAAGAGGTGGCTGAGGGGAGACCTCATCGCCCTCTACAGCTCCCTGAAAGGAGGTTGTAGTGAGGTTGATGTTGACCTCCCAAGTAACAAGTCCTCCAAAAGACAAAAGGAAATGGCCTCAAGTTGTGTCAGGGGAGGTTAGACTAGATATTACAAAATATTTTTTCACAAGAAGGGTTATCAAGCACTGGAACAGGCTGCCCAGGGAAGTGGTTGAGTCACCATCCCTGGAGACTTGTAGATGTAGAACTGGGGACATGGTTTAGTGGTAGACTTTGTAGTGTTGGGTTTATGGTTGGATTCAGTAATGTTGAAGGTCCTTTCCAACCTTAATGATTCTATGATCTATGTGAGACACCTACAGCAATCATAATACCTCCCCCTCCCATTCATTTCATTAACCATCTTTCAGTCCTGGCTTTTCTTAGATGGTGCCAGTCTTACATTTCCTTTTGCTTCTGCATGTATCAGCTGTATTCATTGCATTCTGTCCCATACAGGTTCTTTTTTATAAGCCATTTTTATGCCTGTCATCAAAGTACAACCAGAAGTATTCCTCTCTCAAGGAAACACTGGCACTTCTCTAGTTTCTTCAATGTCCAAAATTCAGCAGAGTGTAACTCCCCTTTGTCAAAGGAATGCTCTAAAGACTGGTCACTGCTAATGCTCACAGTATCTTGACGTCACAACCTGTATCACTGAGTTCCAACAAAAGCCCTGATTTAATTAGCAAGAAAATAGCCATATTCTTCAGATAAACAAGAGGATACATGAATACACGCGTCCATCACCTTGTTTTGGCAAAGAGAAACATTTTGTGAGAGCTGAGGCCTTTTACAGTCACATGGTTTTGCTTTGCAACACTTTTTTACATGGACTGTATATTATAAATTTCTTTTAATAACTTTGTTTTCTGTGCTTCAGGGAACTCAACTTATTGCTAATGATTGAATAGGATCTGGATACTTTTGATGCAGTGTCACTAATGGCTGTTTCCCCTTGGGAAGTTTCCAAGAGAATATCTTTTAGTGGAGTTGGCTGGTTTATCATCTGATGAAAACAGTCCCATAAAACAGTCCCATTTCAACAATGCCTGTCAGATATGTCTGCTTGCTCTGACCTGGCAGACTGTTGTACCCCTGCACAAGCAGCATGCAGTCCCAGGGCAGGCGGCAACCAGCTGTACCACTATATATCAGTATTTCTCCCTGGAAACCCCATTTTCGGAATTCCAAGAAAAAAAACATTACTGAAATTTGAAAAACGCCAAGTAAAGAAGGTACACTTCAAGCCCAGGGCAATTTCCTGATTCTCAATCAGATAATGAAAATATAAGTTATAATTTTGGAAATTAGATTCAAATGTAGCGCATGCATTCTAAATCTCTTTGTTCATCCCTGCCAGCACTAAATCAGTAAAGACAAATATACCTGTAAAGATAGCCCAAATACCATACAGTCCTTTTAAAACTTTATTTCCCCAATTCTGCCCCATTCTACTACTTTTCAGAGCCAACTTATCTCACACACTACTTAACCCACTTACTCTTTTCTCTGAACTCCAGATTTTTATTCAGTGTAACTGGTTTTGATAATGTTTCGTGCTGCAGTTTTCAAAACCATTAAATGGGGATCCAGCATTACTACTGTAGTTCCCAAAGTCCTTACTCTCTGTACTGGGTCTTCCCCACATACCATCCGTGGGAGTTAGAAACTGCTCAGATGGGGAAGCCAGCAAGGAGGCAGTGAGATCCCTGCACTGCTAAATAAGAAGAGGCTGGGGAGCCAGCTCAGTCATTCAGTACCAGCTGTCCTTTGCCGTATTTTAAGCTTGTTCTGTCTTGGTGTGCTCCAGCTAGCTCTTTCCCAGGCAAACTCCAAATATGCCTCTGGGGCTGGTTCACTCCAGGGACCCCTCCAAAAGACAATATGGACAAGATTACATCAGATTTTGCTCCTGTCCTGCAATGTCTTCAGATTTTGCACTCTGAAATATACCCCACACACTTCCCAGCTCCCCCTCTCCAGGACTTCCAACACAATCTCCATTTCAGGTTATGAAAACATGATTTGGCAGGCTGCAACACTGCCCATATGTTTCAGATACCATGATCTGAAGCACAACACATACTTATTATATTTTAGGCTCACCATACAGGGCCTGGGGAAACCCAGGACAAAGAATGTGGCTCCCATGTCTTGCTCAAGCTTACACAGAAATTCTACAGCATACCAAAGAATCAAACCCACCTCTCCCAAGACACAGATTATAGAGTCTAACTACCAAATCATCCTTCCTTACTGAGATACAGAATTCAATCTTCCTACCACCTTTTTTCCCTTTTTTGCTGGTCACACAGATAGCAGCTGACACTAACTCATGTTAACTTTCTAGGAGTATGGTAGAAGACACAGTGTGATTGCAAACGTGAGAGACAAACTTCCCCCCGTACCTTTTATTAATCTTTCTGATGTTCCTTTCCTCAGTGATGGCACACTTGTTCACAGCTTGGTTCATTGCTTGACACATGTCTGCATTTACCCCCACAAAGGAACCAAACTATTTAACTGTTATGACAGCAGCTCCAGCAGTCTAGTCACCCCTCCTAACAGTCCATGTGCAAACTTCATCTCCAGCAGTGTTAGAGCATGCCAGACATGAGGTGTCTCATTGTATCTCATTCCCAGCATACAGCAGCAGTTGGCACACCCTACTGCAGTTCAAACCTCAGATGTCAGATGTCACTGTGCAATGGTTCCAGACACATCTCTCTGGTCTCCTCCAGTGTCTCTGCTCCTTGTCAGCCCTTTTCTCACCAATTTCCATTCTTCACTTGGCAAACACCCTGCAGCACTGTTTTCATTTGATTTTCCAGTGAAATCTCAGTTCTGTAATATTTAATTGGCCTTGCTTCTTAAGTAGATGTTTCCAAAGTACTTTTAAAGATAAAGAAAAAAGCACTCTGGATATCTCAGGTATCTCTTCTCAGCCCTGATTGATGAAAGGGTTTTTCTTCCACCTCAACCGTCATTGCAGATGTCTGCTCATTGATACTTACTCCCACTGGACTACTTGCAGACTTTCTTCACCTTGAGCTCACTGAATTTTTCCATATGTAGCTAAGTTTCACCTGGGAGCCACGGTTATAAATCTCTTGCCTTTTTTAGTGAAGATAAGCTTTTGCCATATAGATGACTATAGATGACTATGACTATGAGCAGTTGTTTGGCCAACTTTCTTCCTTATACTAATTGACTATGGGCCCTGCTGTTGCACCTCAGCTGGTAGATAGGTATCAACACCTGCTGTGTTACTCTCACCCATCAGAGACAAAGTTTTGAATAATAATTTATAGACCTCTAGACTCTTTAATATTATTTATTAGTCAATGCACTTCAGTCAAACTAACCTAAAAAAAATCCTATTTGATTTAAACCATCAGTTTCCCTTACCCCTCATTCATTCTGGACTAAAGTGGAGTAGCAGCTTCACCAAGTTTCAGTGCTATGAAAAAGTAGCATCAGCCCTTTAAAGTAACTAGAAACTCTGTTGTGCCAGGCAATAGATCAGTGACCTACATAAAAATTTGTCTAAAACACAAGTAACTTTGTGTGATCTTAAATGCATGCTGGTCCTGAGACCTACAACAGCAAATTAGAGAGATTCAAGGGGATGCTTAAGCCAACAAGTCCCATCACCCACAGGCATGCTGTGCTCTCTTGCTGGCACAACTCCCATAACTCCCATAACTCCCACGTAGAGATGGAGCAGAAAGAGTTCAAACCAGATGTGAGGTGCTGGGTATGTACATCATGTGCTTCCATGGTCCTGTGTTTCCAGCCAGGAGTTTGGACTGAGGTCCTTTCTGCACATCAGTTATCCTAGGAGGAGTACACATGGTGGTCAGTGTCATGATTTACTGCAGTTCTCAACTATATCTTATGTTTTGCATATAAGCTAAAAGCACCAGTCCGCCTATAGTAGGAAAGGGTTAATTTTTGGACAAGATGAAAGGTGCTATGCCACTGTCTGCAGCATGTCCCTCAAGGATCATCTGCCCAAGGCCTGAGCAGGTTCAGTCTTCCGGGAAGAGGACATCATGGGAGATGACAAGGAGAACACTTCTCATGTTGCACCCCCTAAGACAAAACCCTTGGCACAAGAATAATGCAAATGTTCTCATGATAGCTGATGTTCCTTGAACAGAAGAAAAAGGTCTGAATTCTTTGGGATACTTAAAAAACACAAGGTTTATGTAAGTGCCATCAGTGGTCTTACATGGATCATTGGAATGCATCCAAAAGCAAAGCAAGACTTAAAAGTTTCTCATTAAGTTATTAAATATCTAGCATATGCAGGATGTATTTTGCATAGAAAAATAAGGAAGAAAAAATACTGGTATGCTGTCTCTTTAAGACAGAATAAGTTAGTTTGCTCTTTGTCCTCTCAGACTGAAGCTGGACAGAAACCAGAATAACTTGAAAAGGGGTTAATAAATCCTTGAGGTCTATTTAAATAATCAGTTGAGAGTGAATTGTAGGGAACCAAGATAAATTTAAAATGCTTTAGATTGATTAATTTCTCCATTCCTAACCTCTGTTTTCCTTTTAATCCCCTGATCCTCATCAGTTAGCTTGGCTTCTATGCACCGCTACTCGGTGAAACAAATTAATGTGGTGATGATGAGATGGAAATATCAGTCCCTGCAACTGAACCCTGCCAATTGAACCCCTGACTTCAGCGGGATGTAGCTGCAGAGCAGAGTGCTGCTGAACTGTTCAGAAACACTCCAATTTTCTCATTTATACAGGTCAATTATGAGTTAATTTACTCCAGCCATAATGAGTATGGCCCTAGGGAACAATTTAATATGGTGTATAAATGTCAGAAAAATGCATCTTTCACATGCAGTTGTTAAAAACAAATTCATGGGTTTGTACTGTATCTGAAGAACAAGTGTTTTTCATAAAAGCAAGAACCTTTGTGCCTTTGTCTTGCATTAAGCTGCTCCTTTTGCTCCTGAACAGACTATTTAAAAAAAAAAAAAAAAAAAAAAAACCACGAACAAAACAAAACCCAAACCAGTTCTTTCATCAGATTTTTCCTAACTGAGTGGATTCCTAAAATGCTTATTCCAAAACAAAAGGATTTCAAGAAATAAGTCATAAAAGCTTGGAAGAAGTCACTGTTGAAGTAAAGCAGATGAAAACCCAATTAGCACATATCTCCCCATGAAGTTGACAAGTTCATACCCACTTAAAACAGCAATTGAATAGCAAATGTATTGCAAATATTTTTTCCTTTACTTCATTTAGGGAGGTAGCAACTGCCTTTCCAGTGTTATACACAATTTCTCTAATGTCCCACAGAAACCACTTCTGAATGCGTCACTGTAAAATCTGCCTTTATATTGAGCCAATGTTATATCAAAGGGGAAAATACCTCCCTGGGAAAAAAAAAAAAATAAAATCTGTTTTCTAGACACAAAGTCCCATTAAAAAAAATGCTTAATAAAATGGATTCCTATATCAGGGAGAACAAGAGCCATTAGTAAAATCAATGTTCTAAGGAATATGATCAACCACATTACTTAAAATATCTGTGTTGTTAAATGTTACAAAACTAAAGTGATTTGAGCAAGAAGGTCACTAAACATCTCCGTAGTTACTGGTACCTTGGATTGTTCTTCAAAAAAAAAAAAAAAAACAAAAACAGCATCCAAGCTTCATTTGCAAGTTTAAGCATTGTAACTGTGAATGGAGAGAATATTAATAACTAGGATACTGGAAGAAAATTGCAAGTAATGATCAGTGATTACCAGGCTATCCCTCCTTGCTGGTATGAATGAGGAACATGCACATAAAGTAACAAATTGTTGGATGAAAGAAGTTAAATGAGCAGAGGTGTTGCCACACTCTGGAAGAAAACTGGATAAAAAGAAGTCATACAAAAACCACTGATTCTCTGGACATGTTCATAAAGACAGAGTGGCCACATGAGGATTTACAGTGGAAGGTGCAGGCAGCTCTTCTGTTCCAGTGTGAAGTGCCACATGCAGCAGGAGTAACCATGCTGCAGACAAGCTCTGCTCAAAGGAGCATCTGCATCCAGCCTTGATAACAAGCTTCTTGTCATGATTGAAAAGTGCCTCTAAGAGCCATTTCATAGAAAGAATTTCAGGCAAAACTCAAAATATATCAGAGGTTCAAATCATCACTCTTGTTTTTTTCTGTCTCCCAACACTCACCCAAGAGGAGACAAAGAGGCTGAGCAGCTGCTCCTGGAGGCATTTTCACAGCATCACAACTCACAATGAACCAGTTGTGATGGTGTATGCTGTCACATGTTAGCTGCCAAACCCAGAAGGGTTTTATGCTAACCTCTGATGTTTCTCACTCAGAGCTGCACCCCTTTCAAACATGTGCAGTCTCACTGAAGGTATGATTCCCTGTGTATTTTACTCAATGGTACCAGTGCCTTAAGGAGCTTTCACCTCTTATTTCCACCCCTCCATCACAGTCTGCTGCCTCTCTTTTGTGCCAATAATCATAGAATCAGAGAATATCTCAAGCTGGAAAGGACTCTTAAGGATCACCAAGTCCAACTCCCTGCTCCTCACAGGGCTACCTAAAACTAAAGCATATGACTAAGAGCATCATCCAGATGCTCCCTGAACTCTGACAGGCCATGACCACTTCCCTGGGGAGCCTGTTCCAGTTGCTGATCACTGTCTCAGAAGAACTTCTTCCTGATGTTCAGTCTGAGCTTCCCCTGATGCAGCTTCATCCCATTTCCTTGTGTCCTATTGCAGGTCACCCTAGAGAGACCAGCACCTCCCTTCTGCTGCCCCCTTTGAGGAAGTTGTAGACTGTGACAAGGTCACCCTTCAACATCCTCTCCAAGATGAACAAACCAAGTGATCTCAGCCACTCCTCATAAGTATTACCCTGGAGATCTTTCATCATCTTGGTCAACTACCTCTGAGACACATTCCAATAGTTTGATGTCCTCCTTATATGGAGGTGCCCAAAACTGCACACAGTACTGATGTGTGGGTCCACACCAGTGCGGTGTAGAGTGGGAGAGTCACCTCCCTTGACCGGCTAGCTATGCTGTGCTTGATGCAGCCCAGGGCACAGTTGGCCCTTTTAGCTGCCAGGGCAGGGCACACTTGACTCATATACAACTTACCATCAACCCAAACCCCCAGATCTTTTTCCTCATTCCTGCTCTCCAGCCTCTTGTCCCCCAGTTTGTACATATAACCAGGATTACCCCATGGCAGGTGGAGAACTCAGCACTTGCTCTTGTTAAATTTCATATGGCTGGTGACTGCCCAGCTCCATAGTCTACCCAGATCTCTCTGTAAGGACTCTACCCTTTCAGGAGTCCACAG